AGAGGATATGGTGGTTGGGGCAATCGAGGTTCAACGAGGGCTGATAAGAACAAACATGCACCCCAAAAAGGAAGGGAAGCCAAGGATCAGGGAAGACGTGAAACTAAATACAAGAGTGAGAGTGGATAGAGGAAGCCCACCAAGGAGAACCGAAAAGGAGAAAATTACTTCCATAGTCGAGGAGGCTATGAAACTATGGGAGGACAAAAACAAAAACAAGGCAGACCAGGGTCGCAACATAGAAACTGCCCACAAGAAAGAGAAAAAGAAAGGGGGAGTGCCAAACGGCCAAAAAAAAACAGGGGCCGCGACAACAGCCCAAGGCTCCACCACCACCCCCAAGTGAGGAATACCCACCCTTACCGCAAAGGCCACCGAGGTTCAGCTCAGAACCTCAGGAATCCTGGGCAACGGTGGTTGGCCGAAAGGAAAGAAGGAGAGAAAGAAAAGAAAAGAATGAAGGGAAGGGCTCTCCGCAAATAGTGGTAAAGGAGAAAAGCGCGAACAAAAAGAGCAAAAGGAGAGTCCCTAACACCGCGGCGATCTCAATCTCCGCGGAAAAAGGGGGGTATAAGGAACTCTTAACGGAGGCGAAAAAGAAAATTAACATAGACGAACTAGGGATCTCCAAGATCAGGACGAGACAAGGTGTCACGGGAGCCCTGATCTTGGAGATCCCAGGTGAGGACCGCAACATACATGCGGACAACCTCGCCAAAAAACTAAGCGAGGTACTCGCAGAAAAGGCGAAAGTGACCCGCCCACAAAAAATGGGGGAGATAAGGGTCAGGGGCCTAGAGGTGTCCACCTCAGAGGAGGAGGCTGCGCAGCGGGTGGCCCAAGCCGGTGGCTGCAGAGTGGCGGAGGTCCAGACGGGAGTCATAAGGACCACACCATCGGGCTATAGATCGCTATGGATGAGGTGCCCGCTCGCAGCAGCCAAAAAAGTGGCGGAGAAGGGGACTTTATCTCTGGGGTGGACGCAGGTCAAAATAGAGCTCCTGGAATCTAGGCCCCTGCAATGCTACAGGTGCCTTGAGAGAGGACACGTGCAGCAAAATTGCAGCAACAAGGTGGACAGGAGAAACATCTGTTACAGGTGTGGAGAGACGGATCACCTGGCCCGCAGCTGCACAAAAGCAGCGAGGTGTGCTGTGTGCGCTGCGGCGGGAAAACAGGCGGGTCACCGAATGGGGGGGCCGGCGTGTCGCCCCCCCAACAAGAGGAGGAATCAAAAGAGGGATGAGGGGCAGGAAGCGGAGGCAGCCGCACCAATGCCACCAGCCCCCCCTTCTCCCTCTAAGGAGAGAATAGATGAAAGAGGGGACAAAGAGCAAGAGCCCTCCCCATCCATAGAATCCATGGGACCAGCTACCCCGATAAATGGACCACAAGAGAAAGGGGAGGATATGGATATCGAAAGGAGGGGAGAGAAGAGGCAGCGACCCGCAAGGAGAAGCGGGAGTGAGGAAGAGGAGGGGCCCGTGGAGAAATTGCTTATACACCTGTAATGGATACACGGCTCCTCCAAGCAAATCTGCACCGCGCTCGGCAGGCACTACCGCTTTTCGAGCATACCATGACCGAGCGCGGTGCGGGATTGGGAATTGCGGCGGAGCCCTACAGAGTACCCAAAAACCATCCGAGATGGTTCGGGGACAATCTGGGCTCCGTCGCAATCATTTGGAAAGCGGGCGGAAACTCTCCCCCCGCTACCTATGTGGGTAGCGGAGAGGGATTCGTCGTGGCCAGGTGGGGTGCCCTGATAGTGGTCGGGGTATACCTCCCCCCAACAAAGAGCCTGGACTTTCCTAGCTTTAAGTCCAGGCTCCGAGACATGGGGAGGGCCGTTAGACGGCACCTCCCCGAACCTGTCATCATCGCCGGGGACTTCAATGCGAAGTCGGAGACGTGGGGATCCCGGGATGGTGACAGGAGGGGGGAGGAGGTGGAAGACTGGGCCGCGGGCCTTGATCTGCACCTGCTGAACGAGGGACGCGAATCGACGTTCGTAGGGTCGCGGGGAGAATCGATCATCGATCTCACATGGGCTTCCCCCGCGGCCCTGAAGCGGGTGCGGAGTTGGAGGGTGGCGGACGAGCTCGAAGCTCTTTCAGATCATCTCTTAATAGAGATGGAGCTGTCCGTCACCCCCGAGGGCCTGCGGTCCAAGCAACCCCGAATGCAACCCCGACCGGGGAGATGGTCCCTCAACAAACTGGACAGGGAAGCACTGGACATCTCCCTAGAGGCTGCCACCTGGCCACGGCAGGAAGAGGGGCGGGACCTCGACTCTGAGGTTATGGCAATTATGGAAGTCGTCGCGCATGCGTGCGACGAAGCCATGCCCAGAGTCAGGTCCTGCCCCAAAAGGTCCGCCTGGTGGTGGACCGACGCCATAGCCGATCTCCGGCACAAGTCGGTCCACCTCAGGCGGGCCTTTAGGAGGGTCCGTAACGACCCTCACTCGGACCCCGAGGCTGTTCTGGCTGCCCGGAGGGAGTTTTGCCTAGCGGCGGCATCCCTCAGAGATGCGATTGGGGCAGCCAGAGGAAAAGGGTGGGACACCCTCCTCCTCTCGCTGGACGCGGATCCGTGGGGGCGTCCATACAAAATGGTGATGAACAAGCTGAAACCATGGACGCCCCCGCTAACGGAGACGCTCGACCCCCGGTTCTTGGAGCGGGTCATGGGGACCCTCTTCCCGGTCAGGGAAGGGGACCCCATGGGCCCGTACGTTGCACCCACCCCTGAACAACAAGGGGTGGTACCGGGGGTCACCGAGGAGGAGGTGGCCGGGGCCATCAAAAGGGTCAAAAGCCGGAAGGCGCCAGGACCCGATGGAATCCCCGGCCGCGTCCTTACCCTGGCCTCGGGGTACCTAGGCGGAAGGCTCGCGAGGATCTTCTCGCGAGCATTGAGGGAACGAAGGTTCCCCCCAGTCTGGGGGAGGGCCAATGTGGTCCTCCTCCGTAAAGAGGGCAAACCGGAGGACACCCCCTCCGCATACCGGCCCATATGTCTCCTGGACGAGGCGGGCAAGCTCTTCGAGCGTGTCATAGCTGCCCGCCTCGTGGAGCATATGTCCCGGATAGGTCCGAACCTTGACGACGGCCAATACGGCTTCCGGGAGGGACGTTCTGTAACGGTCGCGCCTCCAGGCTCGGTTGTTTCGGGTAGATCCGGCCCTGTGGCTTGGATCGCGGTTTGCGAGCCGACCACAGGAAAGATTTTCAGGTGAAGGTGTGTGTGGTGTGTGTATGTGTCAATAAAGGAAGACAAAATAAGTATAACACAATAAGTCTTTATTTGGTCGCACGCTACGACCGCGTGTTGCGGCGCGACGTCCCAATGTTTGGGTGTTAGAGGATTGCGTGAATCGTTTCCGCGGACACTACGAGCCCCGCGGGGTCACCGTGGTTGGTGAGCGATTTGCTTGGAGCTTACTTTCGGTAATTAGTTCAGCCGGCGCGTGACCCGCAATGAGGGTCGAGCCGCTGATTAGTGACCGCGCGATGTGTATTCCGGTGTGGTTTAAAGCGCTAGTTTGCGTGATTCGGCACGCGACTTGACGACAGGTTGAAAAAAAACGGCGCAAGAACGCGTCGCGACACGTCGCGCTCGCTTTTGTCCTCGGCCGCGGCGTTGGTCGCCCCGGGGGTCGAGGGGTACGGGCGATGGGAGGATTCCGGGTGTGCTGGACCGACGCGTCAACTCCCAGCTGATCAGCTCTGGCCTTCCTGGCGTCCTATTTGGTGAAATTATGAAAGAGATATCGTGAGATCGTTCCGGTGAACACACCGGAGCGACGGCAAACTCGCCGTCCGATCCTTATATCGTAAAGACAGCACAACAGAAAATCGTTCTGGTGAACACACCGGAGCGACGGCGAACTCGCCGTCCGATCCTTATACCGCGGAGACGGCACGAAATATCGCAAAGACGGTACAAAATAAGACCGTTCCGGTGAACACACCGGAGCGACGGCGAACTCGCCGTCCGATCCTTATATCGCGGAGACGGCACGAAATATCGCAAAGACGGCACAAAATAAGACCGTTCCGGTGAACACACCGGAGCGACGGCGAACTCGCCGTCCGATCCTTATATCGCGGAGACGGCACGAAATATCGCAAAGACGGTTCGAACGAAGATCGTTCCGGTGAACACACCGGAGCGACGGCAAACTCGCCGTCCGATCCTTATATCGCGGAGACGGCACGAAATATCGCAAAGACGGCACAAAATAAGACCGTTCCGGTGAACACACCGGAGCGACGGCGAACTCGCCGTCCGATCCTTATATCGCGGAGACGGCACGAAATATCGCAAAGACGGTTCGAACGAAGATCGTTCCGGTGAACACACCGGAGCGACGGCGAACTCGCCGTCCGATCCTTATATCGCGGAGACGGCACGAAATATCGCAAAGACGGTTCGAACGAAGATCGTTCCGGTGAACACACCGGAGCGACGGCAAACTCGCCGTCCGATCTTTATAGCGCAAAGAACAGGTATTATTAATCACCGTCGTAGACGGCCTGGTAACTCACTTACGAGTTTCGGCAGAAGCTTCTCGGTTGATCCTCTCTTGGAAAGAACTAGTCGTGGAGACGGAACTCTGGAGACTCTCCTCTTGTCAAAATCTGCCGGGGTTATATACCCGAGATTTTGGGGCTTCGGTTTTCTTCGCCCTTAATCGGAGTTAATTCCTTTTTAATCGGAATTAATCGTGATTATGCGGCGTTTGCCGAATAACTTCGGCGGGGCCGCTCGCTCGGTTCGGCGGCCGATCGTGCCCGAGCGTCGTTGCCGGGTAGTCGGGCATCTTCGGCCGAGCGCGATGTGTCGGCGCGGTGTCAGCGCGGGTCGGGGGGTGTGCGCTCAGCTGACTGTCGCGTGCTACTAGGTGGCAGTCAGCGTAACGGCACAAAAATCTTTGTGTCGTTACACCACCCCCCCCCTTTTTCCTTGTTTTCCTTCCTTCTGGCATGGAGCTTTTAACCGGGGATACGGTTGGCGGTACGCAACTGCCCGTTGCGCGTGAACCGCAGGCTCCACCGTCCGGTCAGCGTCCGTAGACGGTATTTCCGGGAGACCCGAACGGAAAAATATGGCACGTGCCATATTTCGCCGGTTGGCAGCAAGATGGGCACTGGCGGCGGTAGTGCGGGGCCTTGTACCGGTGGCTGGATGGAGGGTTGCACCCTGGCTTGCGGTGGCGGGGTGTCGCGGAGGAGTCGCATGGTGCCTCTGAATGGCACGTTACTCCTGATCACCGGTCCCGGCTGGATGTTGCTCATTGGAGTTGGTGGCTCGTCCTCGCCCAGCAGTGGCATGTCGCGAGGTGGCGGCGCTGGGGCCGTCGAGGAACCCTCCTCTTGCTCGTCGAGCGTGATGACCGGAATAGTCCGCCTGGTGGTCGTGGTGGATACGACGACGGAAGGGGGGCCTCCGTGCGGGGCCTCGTTCTCGCGTCTTCGTGCCACGTCAACAAGCCCGGGTGGCGCTGGGCGAATCTGGGGCCCTTTCCTCGGCCGGCCGATTCGGCGTCCGAGCGTTGGTGGTGCGGGCTTTTGCCAACTCTCCCTTTTCCGGGTGGTCGGTTCCTTGACCTCCCTCTGGAGGCTAGGACCGGGCTTGGCGGTTATAGGTGCCAGCGGTGGTGGTTCGGTCGTTGAGACGCGGATGACCGTCGGCGGGGCCGCTGCGGGTGCCGGAAGTGCTGGCGGTGGTCCGTTCGGATCTTCGGGGCGATGCTCGGCAGAGGTCCCCCCTCGGTCTGGCGGGCTTCCCTTTTCCGCAGTCTCCGTGACCCGGCGCCATACGGCGGCGGCGTCGTCGTCGGTTTTGAGCAGAAGCTCGGCCAGCTCGTCGATATAGTTGTCTAGCTCCATATTAACGATTGACTGTCCCGCATGCCTGATCCTCTCCGCTTTTATAGTCGTTAGGCTCGAAATTACGGCTTGCTTCGGGGAGATCGGTCAATCTTCTGGTTGGTCGTTGTTCGTTATCGTTTGTTGGGAACGTGATCGTGTTGATTTCTCGGTCTTTGTTACTCGGTGCGGCGCGCATGTCGTGCACGTGTATGTTTTTATAAATTCGGCCTCGTTCGTCTTTCAAATCGACGATTACTGGAGAATGTATTTTCTTTACGGTGAACGGTCCGCTATATTTTGGCGCAAGTTTGGCATTGAATGCCTTCGTCTTGTCGGATTGAAGGTGTTCCTTTTTCCACACTGTTTCTCCGAGTTGTGGGCGCCATGCTCTCCTCCGTAAATTGTAATGAGATTCCTGTCGTTGAAATGCTTGTGCGAGATGCATTTTCACGAGCTCGTGGGTTTCAGTTAGTACCTTCGCCACGGTGGAGGGTGGCGGAACGGGAGGTTTGTCCCTTCGGTCTTCTTGGTGTGGTCGGGCCAGTTCGCGTCCGTGATTCAGGAACGCTGGGCTGAATCGGGTAGCGTCATGTTGGGCGGTATTAAATGCGAATCGGAGGGCGCCCAAGTGTTCGTCCCAGCGGCGATGCCTTTTATCGATATATTGGGCGATCATTGTTTTGATAGTGCGATTGGTACGCTCCACGGGATTGCACTGTGGTGTGTAGATAGGTGTGGTGCGGTGGCGGATGCCAAAATTTTTGCACATCTCCTGGAATTCCTTGGCACTAAACTGTGGGCCGTTGTCGGAGATAATGGTGTCCGGGCATCCGTGTCGATAAATAATGATGTCGATGATGTGGGTCACGATTACTGGGGCCGTTGCCACTCGAAGTGCTTTGACTTCCAGCCATTTGGTGAAGCGGTCCTGCATGGTAAGTAACCACGTGTGCCCTTGACGAGAACGTGGCAAGGGTCCCACCAAGTCGATGGCCACCTGCTCCCAGGGGTGCTTCACTGCTGTGGCGTGGAGTAGGCCGGGTGGTTTCTGTTGTCCGGCTTTGTGTGCTAAACAGGTGGGGCACTTTCGGACATACTGGGCGATATCGCGGGCCATGCCGGGCCAGTAGTAGTGTTCGCCGATGCGTATGATGGTTTTGGCGATGCCGAGATGTCCGGCCGCGGGATCGTCGTGCATTCGTTTGAGCGTTAATGTTCTTTCGGTTGTCGGTAGGCATCTCTTCCATTGTGCGGCGGTTGGCACTTCCCGGAAGTCGAGATTATGTAGAAAATGTCGGAACACGTGGCCGTCTCGCAGGTCGTAATCGGGATGTGCGTCTGGGTGTGCGGTGACCTGGGCCTTGAGGTTCTCGTACCAGGAACAGGTCGGATGGCTGGTGATAACGGCCACTTCAGGTTCTCGGGACAGGGCATCGGCTACCTGGTTACTGGATCCGCGTCGGTAGCGGATCTCGAAGTCGTATTGTTGGAGTTCGAACTTCCAACGTCCGAGCCGGCCGGTCGGTGATTCAATTTTCTGCAGCCACTTCAGCGACTGGTGGTCGGTGAGGACGGTGAATGTGTACCCTTCGAGGTATTCGCGCATCTTGCGGATGCCCCAGACCACGGCCAGGCACTCCAGTTCGGTGGCGCTATAATTCTTTTCGGCATTGTTCAGGGTTCGACTGGCGTAGGCGACGACTTTTTCTCCCTCTTCAGTCTCCTGGGTCAGTACGGCTCCCAGGCCGGACTGGCTGGCGTCGGTTTGGAGAGTGAATCGTTGCGCAAAATCTGGACAGGTCAGCACTGGTGCGGTAATGAGAGCGTCTTTTAGTCGTTGGAAGGCGTCGGCCTCCTCGTCGTGCCACCTCCATCGTTCTTTCTTCTTGGTCAGCCGCGTGAGTGGGGCTGCGAGCCGGGAGAAATTCGGTACGAAGCGGCGGTACCACGATGCTAGGCCTAGGAATTGTCGCACTTTCTTCACGTTGGTGGGTGTGGGCCATGCGGCAATAGCGCTGGTCTTCCCAGGGTCGGTGTGGATGCCTTCCTTGTTGATCAGATGACCGAGGTATTTTATCTGGGCGCAACAAAACTGGCATTTGTCGACGTTGAGTCGCAGCCGGGCCTCCCGAAGGCGACGAAACACTTCACGTAAATGAGTGAGATGCTCCTGGAAGGTGTTACTCAGCACGATGATGTCATCGAGGTACACCAACACGTTTGGTTCGAGGTCCGGGCCGAGGACAGTGTTGACCAATCGCTGGAAGGTGGCGGGGCAGAGTGTAGTCCGAATGGCAATACCCGGAACTGCATGAGTCCGCGCCCGGGTACCGTAAAAGCTGTGATTCCCTTGCTGTTCGGAGTGAGCGGTACTTGCCAGTACCCGTTCTTTAAGTCTAAGGTGGATAGGTATTTGGCCCCTCGCAGTTTATCCAGGGTAGCTGTGATTTGTGGCAACGGGTATGCATCTCTTTCGGTGACTTCGTTGACTTTCCGAAAGTCAATGCAAAATCGATAACCGCCGTCCTTCTTCCTTACGAGTACCACAGGGGAGCTCCAGGCACTGCTGGACGGTTCAATCACCCCGTCCTCCTCCATCTGTTGCACTTCCTCGTCAATGATGCGTTGCATCGCCGGATTCCGGGGTCGGTATCGCTGCTTGATCGGCGCGATCCCCTGGCGTAACCGAATTTCGTGCTGGATAGCGGAGGTAGGTCCGGAGACGGTGTTGAGTTTTCCTAGTTCCGACCGCAGAAAAACTTGTAGTTGCTCGTCGTCTGTTGTGGCGATTGGTTGTCTGAACGCCTCGACTACTCCAACTGTACGGGTATGGTCGGTGGTAGGGAGGGGCGGGGGTTGTAGAGTTAGTCCGAGGCGGGACCACAAATCCATGCCGATAATAATTGGCGTGGTCAATTTCTCCATGACCGTAAAACGGTGATGGAACTGTTGCGTTCCTACCCAAAATATTAGATGGGTGGACCCGCAGGTGGCAACCCGGGTGCCGTTGGCTAAGGTTACCCATGAGCTGGGTCCGAGGGGTTGATCCTCGGGCCTCAAACTTTCGGCGCTTACCAGGGAGGTTTCTGCTCCAGAGTCAATTAGTGCCCTAAAAGGGCGATTTTGGTAGCGCACGGTTATACTGGGGCGCGGCGTGTATGTTATGCGTGGGACCGGGGAGTGTCCGCTCCGTCCTCGGTCACGCCCGCGTTTCCCGGTGGCGGATGGCACTGTTTTGTGAGCACCCCTCTTTTCCGCATCGCGAGCAGAACTTAATGGCGGGTTGATCGCATTCCTGTCGCTGGTGTCCGGGCTGTTTGCACCGCCAGCAACATGCCTCGCGATCGTATGCCATAGTGGCTACGGTGGGTCCGCTTAACCGTGGGGGTTTCCCCTGGACGCGTTGCTGTCGGGTCAGTTCCTCGTACTTGCGGGCTAGCCGGCCGAGGTCCTTGATATCCCGTGCCTCATAGGCTCCGAGGAACATTTTATAGCCTGGGTCTAGATTATCGTATAGACGGCCCAGCGTATTATTTATTTCGTCGTCGTCGCCACTGCGTCGGATCAAGGTGAGTAGTGCATTTTCATACTCTCTATATGATTCGTGGGGCCGTTGTCGACGCTCGACGATTTGGCGTCGCATTTCCTCGCGGTATCGAGGCGGTAGATAATGCTCGCGGAAAGCAGCGCAGAAATCGTCCCAGTTGTGCCAGCCAGGACGGTGGTTCCGATACCAGAGTAGCGGTTCTCCCCGCAGCATCTCTGGAATTCCCCAAAACAGCTGTCTGGTGGTAAGCCCATAGCATACACGGAGCTCATCAATCCGTTCTAAAAAGTTAAGCGGGTCCTTCCCTGTAAACTTGCAATCCCACTTATGGATTTCATGGATTGCCTCTGCGTCGGTGGGGGCTTTGTCCGCCGGATCCCATCCTGGTATTTGTTCGTCCTCCGTGCTGGCGGCACTGGGTATATGAAGGGGCTAAGCACCCGTCGGTCGGTAGGTCGGGTGAGGAATAATCCGGGGTTCTCGGTCACGAAACGGCGGAGGCGTCGTCGGAGGTCATCGATAGTGCCGCTCGTGTCCAGTCCATACTGACCGAGTCGGTGACCAATTTCCGCCTTATTAAGCTCTTGTATCCAGGCTCTTGGGGCGGTACTCATCTTGAGTTTCGTTGGTTCCCTTGTCTCCACTTATCGTGCAACACACACCTTCCCTTTAACTGCCGGATCCTGGCAGGATCGCCATGTAACGGTCGCGCCTCCAGGCTCGGTTGTTTCGGGTAGATCCGGCCCTGTGGCTTGGATCGCGGTTTGCGAGCCGACCACAGGAAAGATTTTCAGGTGAAGGTGTGTGTGGTGTGTGTATGTGTCAATAAAGGAAGACAAAATAAGTATAACACAATAAGTCTTTATTTGATCGCACGCTACGACCGCGTGTTGCGGCGCGACGTCCCAATGTTTGGGTGTTAGAGGATTGCGTGAATCGTTTCCGCGGACACTACGAGCCCCGCGGGGTCACCGTGGTTGGTGAGCGATTTGCTTGGAGCTTACTTTCGGTAATTAGTTCAGCCGGCGCTTGACCCGCAATGAGGGTCGAGCCGCTGATTAGTGACCGCGCGATGTGTATTCCGGTGCGGTTTAAAGCGCTAGTTTGGTGATTCGGCACGCGACTTGACGACGGGTTGAAAAAAACGGCGCAAGAACGCGTCGCGACACGTCGCGCTCGCTTTTGTCCTCGGCCGCGGCGTTGGTCGCCCCGGGGGTCGAGGGGTAGGGCGATGGGAGGATTCCGGTGTGTGCTGGACCGACGCGTCAACTCCCAGCTGATCAGCTCTGGCCTCCTGGC